TAAGAAACCCCTGAAAAAAGTGCGAACATCTGCGCTATCTTTTGTAACATTATGTGCCTGCTTGCGACCCGCGAGCTCACACCATAATGGTTTCCATCACGTTATACGGGAGTTATAAGGGGCTATTCAGGACGTCAGCAAAAACAAGTGGCTAAAATTGACCAAATTATTTTGTTTTCAATAACTTTCACTGCGTGACGGCAACAATTTTTTCTCCAGAACATAGGAATATATTTTAATAGATGAACTCGGATTAGATTTCGATCTGAACTTGTTGAAAGGTCCCTTGTCAGGTAATTCCCGGCAAAGTTAAGTAAAGCGGAATCATTATCACGCGAGTATAATATATCAGAAGCGTAGTGTGACTTTTTTTTTTACCAAAAGGAAGATATTATGTTGTACGTCGCTATACGAGATAAGTCGTGTTGCATTTTATTATTGAAAACGAAACAGTTTACATCCACTACCAACTTTATATTTGAATTATCACGGCCTTAGATCTGACATTTCTTCTTTATAAAGAAGGTAATTGACAATGTATAATTTTGGGTGTAAAAGAAAGATATGAGGGAATTCACTTTCATCAAGTCTTAAAACTTCGCGCGAATTAAAGCGGTGCAAACATGATGGAAAGACATAAGTGAGCTACTGCGCTCTTCAGGCTCCAGTTTGCGTCACAATTTGATGGAATTTTAAATGCAGCCAAATAACAAAATTATCAGTATGTCATTGAATCATATATAAGAAGCATTTCTTTTAATATTGCATATCGTACACCTTCACCCTGTTATTTTTGATTAGTCATCGTTGAAAATTCTCGCTTTATGCCACTTTAAACGTTTTTCAACACTACTTACTCTCCATGCAACATGGTGGCCAGCGTCAGGCCTGGCTTTTCAAACGAAGTGCCCGAGTTGTGGTCACGTGGTTCGTGTCGCAAACTCGTGCTGCGCAGAACGAGCAAAAATCGGTGCGCCGGAGTAGCCCACTCACGTATTTTCACCATTGGCGCAAAACGATACGAAAACGCTGTGAAGACATAACAAGTCGATAGTATTCTTCCAAAGTGAAAAGCCATCGGCTTAGGTGGCTAACGGTACGTGATATCACTGCAGTGCCTCTGGTCGGGAGGTCCTACGCTTCGAGTGTGGCAGGATTTTCGACACTAGCTTCAAAGCGGGATTGTATCTAGCCGTCGTCTCGAGAATTCTAGTAGCCAGCTGCTGTAATCGATAGTTTTCTATGGTTTCTTCGATCAACGTCAGGTGAATGCCGGAACATTACCCTAAACAGACCATGAACCGCGCGATCTTTTTTCTTCTTCCTTGCCCTATTTGATAGGAGGTTGAAGAAAAATCCCATGGATACGTCGGCGCCGAATCTCGTCAGCGGGAGACGATCACAGCAATCTTCCGACAACGACAAATTTCTCTTTCATCAGAAAAATGGTTTTGATAAACATTTCTTAGTAGCTTATGCTGCTACTTGTATATCAAGCGATACCTTTACACACTGTACCAATATTATGCGTCACAGGAATAGAGTTATGCCACCATTTACTCCATTCCAAACTCGATGTTTATAGGACGTTCATGGCATGAAAACCGGTCAAGAGCAATAAACAATAGTGACTTTTGGTAGATTGTAACTCAAATGATAAGTGTTAATGCTTTTACATTGGAAATATTGTGGATTTTTTTGTAAAAGACGAGAGTAAACACCTGGAGCCATGAACCACGCAGAACGATACGAAGCAGGTGTTCATCGAACATATGTAGTATTCTACCAAACGTGCTCCAACATTGTATTCTGTACAAGTCATTATAATTTTTAGATCTACAACTATACATATTAATACTATTTATTCCTAGTAAGGTAAACAATTTAGAAACTAATTGCAATGAAACCCTGAACAAGAACTACTGACATTTAAAACATGGCATTACATTTCTTTTAGAACTCCGCCCTCTAACACGTAACATAAGTTCATATCGGTGTGAAACAAATATATGTAAAATATTTCAAATAAATTGGACATATTGCGAGCTAGCGTGGAAAGTGCATTGCAAGGAAATATATTTTTTGGTCATATGAAATAAATATTATTTAGAATTAACTTTATAACATTTTTCAATTATTATTATTATTATTATTATTATTATTAGTATTAATATTATCATTATTATTATTATTATTATTAGTATTACTATTATCATTATTATTATTATTATTATTATTATTATTATTATCACAATGTTCCTATTAAAATTTACTTTTCTACATAAACTTTTGGCCGGTTACATGAGCATTCCGTTCATGTTCCTTTAACTTCGATTTCGCGGGTAATGACAAATTCTTTAAAATATATTGAAGATGAGGCATAATACTTCTATTAAACACTAAATTATTGTTTTCAATAATGTTAGAGAGATGTAAACATTTATTTCCTTTAAAGAAGTAACGTTCAAGGTTCCCAGTCGAAACGACTCCCCTGGGCGTGCTATGGGGTACTGGTAAGCATAGACGTTGGTGTCAATAGTACGTTGAACTACTCGAGTTTGTGACGACGTGAAAGACGAAAAACAGCCAAAGAAAGACAAATGAAAAGAGACAAGACAAAGAAAGACGAAAAAGTCAGCCAAGAAGTTACGATCTACTATTTAACATGAGAAGTGAATTTTGATAGAATGACAGCCCGTGAACGTCGTGCTTCGCATTTGTGAGCGTACGAACTTAATTTAAATTTCTCGAAAGCCCAAATCGTGAATAATCGCTAGAGAAGAGTGTTGCTGCTACGGGGAACGTAAGACCGGAAGAGGACATGGATTGGAAGACCGGAAGAGGACGGGAGACCGAGCGGGATCGGACCGAAGGCGACGCGAGAGGACTCGCAGCGGCCCGGGCTGGTTGTCGACCTCGCGTACTGCAGCTGCGTGGTCGAGGAGGCTACGGCACGTGTGCGCGCGAAGTTGGCAGCAGTCCAGGAGATATACCGGGGACGTTGCGATGTTCATTGATTCGCTGCAGGAAAAGTCCGAGTTCGTAGCCGTTCTGTAATACGCTTTACTTGACACTGTACACACTCCAGGCCGGCACTTCATACACTGCCTACCACTCGCCGGGCACCGCTCTTATAGAAAAGAAAAGAAAAAGAAAAAAAAAAAAAAAAAAAAAAAAAAAAAAGCGCCCCGGCTGAAGGTCCGCCGGCCAGCTGCCCGATAAGGATGGGTTCTCTGGTTCCGGGACTTGGTCGAATGTGACGGTGCTGCGGCGTTAGTAATCGGCACCCTCTCTTAAGCGGCGCCGGAACCACTTTCCGGCGGCAACTTCAAAGGTGCGCGTTCGACCATATCAGAATCATTTTAACGCCATTTCAAGTCAAAATTGGCCATGCTTCCCATATTTAAGAATTACGAACCAAGAGAGTAAAATCAAAGATTAAGAGTTTAATAACAACCTTTCCGCAAAACGAGGGTGGTTGTTCCAAGGATATTTATAAACCCACGAGTATTGCAGAATCAGATGAAAATGTTATTAACTCCATCGCCGCATCAGCACGTGATAGTAATTTTGTGGACCAAAGCCTAGTGTTTGAACATTTACCAATATGGATTGAGAATGACATTGAGCTGCAAATTCCCGCTGCATCTGCTGAAAGCGACCTCTACAAAGAACTGAGGAAGAAAATATAGACCTTAATATTCTGAACTATGGGACTCAGCAGCTGGTTTTGTATGTGAACATGCAGCTGAGGAGAGTGACCAGAATAAAGAAAATAATGCAGGAAAGCCCATCAAGGAACAAGAAAATTCATGAAGTGTTGAACTTGGAATGGCCAAGAAAGGACATACTAGAAAAAGGAGACATAAAAGCATAGAAATATGAAAAAAGAAAGCAGACTTAACAGCAAAACATTTAGTTTTGCTACCATGTATCAAAGATCTATGTAAATTAAAATGCACAGAAATAATTTCAGTTGATTCAAAATAACAATAAGTAGCAAATTTTGGGACATGACGTATTGAAAGAAGAGCATGGAGACAAAGTGTGTTGTGAAAAGTTAAGCTTGATTTTTTTAAAGGCCCACCTAGAAAGTTCAAGAAAATATTGAGATTTTGATTAACAAAGCCTTGAAACGTCTTAATACAAATGACCATGTTGTTATTGGCATTGGAGAATTCCCAATATCACCACCCAAGTCTTCTGGGTTCTCCAAAGGAAAGAGGGAGAAACTACTTAAAGAACTTTGCCAAGTTATTTCAGAAAACCGGAAAACTTTTTTGCTGAACATATCAGTTTATGTGTAGAAGATGTTATGAAACTCAGTTAAATTTCTGAACCATAATGTATCCACCTATAAGTTTTTGTAAAACCAAATAAAACATCTTATATTTAAATTGAATTTTAATACACTTAATATGCATCATTTAATCACTCCTGCATCTTCCTCTCAAAGTATTAAATATTATAATAGCATTGCTTAGTAACGATGCAATATCCATTCCTATCCTAAGATTTCCGCACTTTTAATAAGCATAATAGATAGATGAATGCAAATAATGCTTACACAGTACCCGATTTATTTTATTGTTAAAATGAAAAAAAAAAGTATATAATTTTTATAAAAGAATATTTAAAATTCCAGTTCAACAAAACATACAGTTATCTAATTATTGTTACTTTCACCATTAGAACATCTTGTCAAATTAACCTCATTTTTTTTCTCAAAACTTTGTTTTGAGTAGATACTGTGTTTTTCCTAGAGGGCAGAATACTGTATGCAATGAAGTCACGCTTATTCGTTGACAGTGCGGCGGGTTGCTTAGTTCAGGGGTGCTTGAGTTTTAGTTTTTGCATCCACGAGCAAGACACATACATTCCTTCCTTTTATTTATATATAGTTATGACTCGATGCATATCAAATGTAAGATTAAAATTTTGTTTCAATGTAATTTTACATTTTATTTAATGACTTGCCCCTGAAATCCTAGGAAAACAAAACGAGGTCAAGAAACAACAAATTATTTTTTAAGTTTTTACCCAGATCTTCGTAAAAGCAATTTCACAAACAAATCCGTATTCCGGCTCAGTTACACTACTGAATGACGCATATACAATGCTATGAGTTTTAAGTAACAAAATTCACCATCATATATTTCCACAAAAATGTAAAAACTTGCCTGGCCTTAACAGTGTATGTCATGTTTTTTATCTTTCCTGGATTTTTCACTTTTTTCCATTGGTCCCCTGAAAAGTGTTAAAAGGGGTTTTACTGAACAAACTTAACATAATCCAGACTGAATAGTCAAGGTTCCTAAGACTGAAGAGCAGTAACTGCCTCATATCTGAAGAGATGCAGGTTCAATTTCCATCTGAGACCTGGAAGTTAGTGCGTGCCTATATACCAATACTCCAATGTTACTACAGTGTTCACTATATGACCATTGTAGTTGACAAGCAACCTTAAATGAGTACAAAAATAAATACAAAGATCATATAATTTCCTGTTATAAATTTAATTTACAATATCGCATTTGTAAAATTATAATTATTGCGATTGTAAGATTTATCACAAGCAATACTGGTGAGGGGGATGGTTAGAATATATCTCAATCATGATCTCAGAATCATCTATTTTTGGTGTAATGTATTCTACAGTCTAGGGCTACGGAGCTACCGGTTTTGAAATGGAACCAACTTGTAAAAAAAAGAAAAATCACACATCTTTTCAATATGAAAAATATATTTTAACTTACATTCTATATTCTTAACTTTTACTGCACTCCAAAAGTTTTTTTTCATCATTTTCTATTAATGAAGAGGGAGTATCACACATTAGAATCCGATTTTCATGCAAAATTCTTCTACACAGACTGAGATTATCAAAAATACATTGAAGATGCCAATGTCTTCTAAGAAGAGCATGTTCTATGGAAAATGGACCGTAACGTACACATCTAATACTTGAACATGCAGCTGTACTATGAACTTTCATCCCTATATCATGAATAAGAGTCTTGAGGTAGCTTTCATGTTCATTAACACATTTCACTTCTGAAAAACAAACAAAGACAATTCATTTAGTTTTAAAAGTATAAAATTGGAATAAAAATTGGTTCCAATTCATTAAAAATCACTCACCAATGGTAAAATCTGGAGGATCAAATTCAATGCATTTAATGCTGTAAATAAAAGGAATTTTTCCATCTGGTGGACGCACAGTTCCCTTGACAGCTAACTCATAAGCTGCTTGGCTGTGCATGTGAACTCCCATGCGACTAAAAAAAAAAGATATTCTAGAATTGGAAGGTCCACAATTTATTAAGTAAAAGAAATATTTTATTTTAAATTGGAAGATTCAACATTGATTTTCAATAGTTTGCATTTCCCAATTGAAGGGAGTTTCTAAATTTTGAATCACAATCAAACACCAAGTAGTGATAAGTTACAAATAAGTTTTATTCAAACTCAAATACCAATGTTAATGGATGTTGAATTTTCTGTTTCCCACTTCCAAACCCCACAAAGACAGGCTTGTGTGTATTAGCTGTTTATTTTTATCCAATTGATGGTTAGCTTCATTTGATTTTTAATATTGTAAATTTAGGAAGCCATTTTCATAGAAAACTTTGACAGTTAGTGTACACAGCTTTGGTTGAGAAAATTTCTACAATATATTTTGAACTCAAACACATCATCTTCAAACATATTTGGCTGAAAGAAATTTTCATCTTCCAACCAATTTAAACTGCTATACTATTATTCTTTCATAGACAATTAGCTATTTCACATTTAGTAGATATAGCCACATGCAAACTCAAGTTTACAAAAAAATGTCAAACACCACTTCAAGCTAAAAATTAATGTTGGAATTACAAACACACCTACTTACTTAAACATTGTTTTCTGATGAGCAGCTTGAATACTAGCCAGAACTCTATCCATTATGGTGTGTTTCACATGGTGAAATGTGGAACGTTCAACAACAGCCCCATATGTATCATAGGTGTCTGTTGCTATTCCCATTTTCCCTGTGACATGGTATACTCTTATTGGCCGTGCATTTCGAAGGTGATTGGCAAGAACAGAACCTTTATTAATTCCGAAAACTGAAAAAAGACAAGAACTTTAAGGAACTGAAATAATAACTAAAATATGAATAAAAATACAAACTTGTGCATACCAAAAACTCCTGAAGTACGCCTTCCAACATGAGAAGCCCATGAACAACGTACATCATTTGGCAAATACCGAGGGCCAACAACTAATGGATCATCTGCAAAGCTTTGACCAACGACTACTTGGCTTTCTGAACTGTTTCTTGAGAAGACATGATTGTTGCGAGGCCGACATTCAAACTCGTTTAGATCTGTTAACAAAATTTGTACATTTTCAGAAATACAAAAAACCCTAGAATTGCACATTCAAAACAAATTGACTACTTACCATTGGCAATGTTACCAATCAATGTCTGTCTCAATGCCCTACTTGTCATTCCTTGGGGTTTATACACACAAATAACGCCGTTCAGCAATTTCCATATAACAGGTGCTTCTGATACATATCTCATTTTTATAAGCTGACATACACGATATTAATAAACCACTGAAACGTCAAGTATAGGTCGCGCATTCCTCGAACGATGAATTTGCTTCCCCCTCTCTGGCACAGTGAACAGTTGAAGGCGAAAGCTCGCAGCAAGCACGGATGACAACATTCTACACACATCTTCACCGGCCCGAAATAGAAATAATTTTCTTTTGAACACAAGACCTTCTGTCTATTATTTTCTCCACAAGATCTTTTCTGATCGAAGCAACGGCTGAGGCTTCACGTAAAGTACCTCTAAAACATTAAATAATAGTTTCATACTCGTTTCGAGTTCGTCTAAATCGATTCGGTATTATCGATTTTGGAGAAAATCTCCCGCACCTGTATGATATCATTGCTATCGTTTATTTACTATTTGAATTTGGCGTTAAAATTGGTGGAAAAAATAACATTAAACTATTTTTCCCGTCCCTCCATTTTTTTCAGCCTGATACATGCAAATACAAGCTAAGAAAAAATAAAACATGAAAAACACTTTTCTCGTTGTATATAGAACGATTTTCTTAAGAATGGGATAAAGAGAAAGTTCGCAAAACAAGTGAACATCACGTGTACTTCAGAGAAGTAAACACGTGCACCGTCACGAGTACGCATCTCACATTCAAGACTCGATTTTAAAACAAACATAATACTTGTCACATAAAAACTAAATTCAATGTATTTTTTTTAAAGAAATAATTTTTACAGAAGAGCACAAAGCTCTGCACTTCCTAAATTCAATTATTTCTTGTGGCGCACTATATTTTCGTCGGACGAGGACATCACAGCCAGGGAGCGTCGTAACTATTTACAAGTTAGCCAACTGCAAACGAACGAATGGAGGAAGGAGAGTCTAATAAGTTGAAGGACACAACGACCACAGAATCGTCAGTTGTGTTGCCAGCACTAGCTGTCAAATCATCCCATTCTAAAGAAAATCGGACAATATCTGCAACAGATATTGCTCTAGGGAACTGAGTTTATGGGAATCTACAGTAATTTTTATTCTCATTCATATGAGCATCGCAGTGATTGATTTGGTTTGGAGCCACTTACCTCCACCTTATTCAGCTCTACTCTTTGTATCCAAATTCCCGTTTCAATTTTTTAACCAATAGTACAAATTTACAAGAGATTGTTCTTCGAAAAGAAACAAGCTTTATCTCGTAATTTGTTTGTCTCAACATAATAATTTAGCAGCTTTGGAAAGTGTCTGAAGTATTTGGCAGATTTGGCGAATAGATACGGACCCCAGATAGCCGAGAAGGGAGCAATGAGCAACCATCTCCGAAGAAAAAAAAACATTCGGAATCTGAAGAGTTATCTTGTAGAATTGAAGAAACAACACAAGTCATCGAAAGACATCCATGACATCGCTGTGTGATTGTCCATTGTCCTGGATAGCGGCGTTTCAACGTAGATATCCGAATGGACTGGGTTGCACAAAATACTTTATATTTAGTATTTAAATACTTTGTAAATAAGTATTCAAATATTTTGTAAATAAGTATTTAAGTCCATACTCAAAATACATTAGGTTTTGAAGGGCTAAATACATATGTATTTAAGATTCTTCAAATTCTCAAACTACAGTAAATACAATAATTTTGCATTATACATTTTTTATTGCAACAATATATTGTAATTGTCAATTACAATAAATTTCTAATTGACAGCCATAATTTTCTGAACAATAACAATAAATTTTTAAGTACAAAAAAAACTCATTTATTCTTTCACAAAAAATTCAAATATAAGATGATCCTTCTTCTTTTTGTTGTTCTTGTTCTTCTTCTTCATCTTCAAGGCGCTACAATATTCTCTTGAATGTCTTGGCCTGCTCCAAAACTGTCTTCCATTTTCTTCTATCATGAACCACCTCATGCCATTTCCTAATTCATTGTATCATAATGTCCTTCAAAACATCTTTCCATCTATGTTCGGTCTCCCTTTCTTTCTTTCGTTATTGTTACAATCGGTTACCAATTATAAATCTTCTTGACCATTATTTCTTCTTGCATTCGACATAGGTGACTAAACCAGCTATGCCGAAGTGACATAATGTGATTTACGATTTTTTAAACTTTATGATGGCGACAATTTCATAATTATACCTTATCCTTCACAGGCCACCTGCAACCTTTAATGGACCAAAAATCTTTCTCATTATTTTCTTTCAAATACATTTATCTTTCTCATGTCAATTACTTCTTTCGTAAAAAATAACCGAACAAAAGGCGCACGTTGACTCACTTCGAGTCCTAGATTTTCAATATAGCCAGTTAAAGAAAATACGTCTGACGAGTTACACCAGCAACCAAGATGTGAAACGGTTGAAACGGTTGAAACGGGTGAAACGGTTAGCGTACCGGACTGTTGTACCCAAATTGGTGGGTTCAAGCCTGATCGAAGCCGTGGATTTTTGAGGGCGAAAAAATCCTTCGTACGCCGTAAAGCCGGCTGTCCCATGTTAGTAGATTTACTTGCATGTAAAAGATTCTCAAGCCTAAATGACGCCTCTGACCTAAATTCAAATCACCTGCTTCTCGCCCACGAAATACCTCCTTTCTCTGCTAGTTGGTGAAAGGAGCGTAGCGAAATTTGCGTGGTCAGCCGAAAGAGCGGGCCTGATGGCACGAGTCTCGCCACGTAAAATAAGGCATTAATTCAATTCAATCTCATCGGTCAGAAAGTCGCTAGTAACGTATTCAAGCACCGGCCGAGTTTAATCGCCCCTCATCGGGACCCGATCGCCGCGAGCATCCACCGGCGCCCATTTTTGTTGTCTCCCGGAAAGTGTCAATACCCACAGGGTCCCAAGGAGCCTCTTGCTGCCCGTCGACCGCACGGATCCAGTCATCGCCGCCACCACCCCACAGACGACCTTGGCTCTCCCGAGTGGAACACAACAGCCGCCTCCGCTTGGCGCCTGCCACGCGCCAGCGCCACCTCCTCACTTCGACGGAAGTCGTAGGCTTCAGCGGCCGGAGACCTGATGCGAATGATCTTGGCTGTCCGGGTGACGCCGCGTCGAAGGCTGTGTTGCCGACACGCCGTCGAAGGTTGTGTTACGAAGGCTGGTCTGCAACCAGCCCTGAAGAAGACCACGATAAGATGGTCGAAACGTCGGCAACACGGCCTTCCACGCTGAGTCACCCGGACAGCCAAGATCATTCACTCCTTACGTTGACGCCAGCTGATTCACTAAAGACTAATGAAAAGAACTGTTATCACATCAAGAGAGAAGAAGACCCTATGTGATAACTTTTGTATGTTTTCAGTGTATAATTTACGTCGGAATATTGTCACAATAGTTAATCATTACTTCACTAATGAATAAAGTGGGGTTCCATCTGGATCCAGGATCTGAGGAGCTCGAATACACGTTTTTCATTAACAACCAAAAATCACTTCAGATCCTAAACGAAGTCCTGGTAATTTAACCCCACCTCCTTGTTCTACCGGGATTTATCACAGATGAAGATCTACGGCTGCTGCAAGAGATCGGCTAAGCAGGTAAATGGGTGGACAATATCCGCCGCTGCTTATGCATTAACTTGGACCCCAAACTCTGGCAGTGAGAACTATAGACTGGGGTGGTTCCTTATATATATATATATATATATATATATAATGTATATATATATATATATATATATATATATATATGAGTGTGTGTGTGTGTGTGACGGTATTGGGTCAGACACGAACACTCCACTTTAGGAGCGAAATAACATTATCATTAAAGTACTAAAATAAAAAAATACCCATTAATTTAGGAAGGCACTGACGACACGTCTTGCCTCTCTAGCCATCACAGTGCAACTGTGCAATTGCTTCCCGCGCAACAGTTGCCGAGTTGTTTCACCGCGTCGCTTCGACATTAAATCCTGAAAATCCCTCCTCCAATTTCCACATTCGACAGTCCTGACAATAATCCGACTCTGATGACGAATAACAAGTAAAATATTTTTAAAGTAAAATATTTTCTGCTGCATAACTGTATCTATACAATTAGAGACTATACTGGTTTTCTAAAAGAAAAATAATATTTATTTTAACAAAACAGTGATATATTGAATTAGTTCAAAATTTATTGTAAACACTTTTTAAAAAGACTTAATATGTTTGTAACAAATAATGTACTTCAGCGTCCGGGTCAATGACCACCTCGATCAGGTTTTTGTCGTTTCCCTGATCCATTGAGCAAATGTTGAGACGGTCCCTTGTTTTGCTATTAGATGTAAGTGTAGCTTCACTATGCGTACGATTTGTTGAACTCTCCTTTTGCTTGTAAAGATAGGAGTAGAGGTTTTTCGACGTCCACGTAAAAGAGTTCGTTTTTCAGATCTAATGTGGAGAATACCGAGACGTCCTACAACTTATCCAAAAGGTCTTCTATTAACTGCAACAGGTAACGGTCTTTCACTAGAATTTTGTTCAACTTACTGTACTCTATGCAAACCGATGAGAACCTATTACTTGACTGGATTACTCCGACGAACTTGATTCAATTATTCCTTCCTCAAGACATACCTGAATCTGATTTTCGAAGACCTCCTTCTTTCCTTGTGATAATCGCCTCGGTTTATTGTATGTTGATTGCTCCTTCTCCACACAAATTCTCTGGGTATCGAACTTCTTCTTCTTTGGAGCGTAATTGGCTAGCTACTCTTGAACACGTCCTCTATTTTACTCACTCACGAGCACTCACTCGCATGCCTCGAGTTACGGTTTTGTGATGGTTACTCCGTTTCTGTTTATCAAAACCTCGGTTTGGTCCAGAAGATCGTTTCCAATCTTCATGCCCTTCATAGTGTCTCCGGAAACAACGTAAACATGTCTCAAATGTCATACCATCGATTTCAACAGAATTGAAACACCCTTAAGAGAGGCGTAGTTCTTCCCAAATCCTGTTAATATTACATCAGTTCTTAGTAGCAGTGGGTTATCGTCGACATCGCATCGGCTAGCAATTTCTTTCATCACCAGAAAGTATTCAAGTAAGATTTTCTCTCGCTTTTTTCTTCGTCCATTCGGTAGTTTATGGGTTTCCGCAATGCTCCTTTCACATCGATGTTCTCACTCTGGATAAAAAGCTTTGCTAATCCTGCAAGGGACTTCTTCGCGAAAACGAACGTCTGCAGTTGATTCAGATTCATCAATACTGCTGTCTCTTCAACATCTGAAATCCATTTTTTAATCGAGTAACCGGCTCTTAAACGTTCTCACGGCGCCCTCTATATCTAGAAATGTCATCGCGAAACTTGGTTGATGTGAAGACACTGACTGCATCTCACTCTCGCTGAGGGAACCAGGATCTTTATCTTCGCTCTTTTCCAAAATACTCAATCTTTTTTCGAATTCATTCTTTCTTGTTATCGTCATCAATTTTCGTCACTAATTCAGTCGGATTTCTCAAATAACATATTTCAGAGATCATTTCGTCTTTTGCCCCAATATTAATGCATAAGATATTACAAATAGCACCGAGATCTGCTTCTGAAAATGTATGTTGAATGCATTTCGTTTTCGATTCACTCATTGGATTCTTCATCAAACGTGAATTCCGAAAATTCTTTCAAGCGTTTACGATTCTTTGTGTCTGTTGGACCGGTTTCAAAAATTAGGTTCTGGAGTGCTTTGATGACTTTTACAGGTGCAGAGGTTGTTTTTATTCTCTGAATTGTGCCAAGCTTCGTCATTTGTGTATATTTTATAACGTCAAAAATACTATTCAATGTGAAATCTCGAAACACAAACTTTTGAAGCTTGTCTTCATGATGCAATACTGCTTCCCCTTCTTCCTCACGAAACACACATCCAAATATAACCACACAATAATATTCTTCAGCCACTCCATTCCATTCACCGTTGAAAAAACGTACTTTGTTTTTCTGATGAATTTTAGTATTCGTCGTCTTCACTCAGAGATACCACAAAATAACACGTCGTCTGTGTCAGGGACAAAAGAAGATGAAAATTTTCGCATTAGCATAGTCGAAAATGGCATACTTATGTAGCTTCATCTCATATCAAAAACTCAATCGCGACCGAGCCCTCAAATTGTGGGAGTCGGTATTGGGCCAGACACGAATCACTTCATGCTAAGAAAGAAGTAACATTGTTATTAACCAATTAAAATAACAAGTACGCATTACTACACATTAGTTTAGTAAGCACTGAGCACATGTCTTGCCTTTCTAGCCATCATAGTCCAACTGTCCTCTCGCTTCCCGCGCAACAGTGTTGCCGATTTGATTTACCGCGTCTTCTTTTTCGGCAGTAAATCCTTCTAAAAATCCTTCTTCGATTCACACACACACACACACGCGCGCGCACGCACGCACGCACGCACACGCACACGCTCACGCACACGCGGGCACACACACATATTTATTGTAACTAAAATATCATATTCTGTATGTGTTGTAGTTTGTCTAGGGTTCACACTGGAACCTAACTTCAAATGGAAGGCACAAAACTGTGCAATACATTTTATAGGCCTAAGTAAGGCTATATAGGCTAAGTGTAACCATTGTAACATTGCTATGCATTTATTTACAAACAGAAACCTTTGATTTGAGAGATGTTGAACATAATATTATAGTGCCAATCTAACTTGTCATATTCACTATTTCGAGATTTTGCTCAGATCTGATCGCCCTTGCAAGTGAGAGGGGGAGGGGTATCCAGAAGAGCAGAACATTCAAAAACTGAGAAGGGGGTCCAAAAAGGTCTCATTTTATAGATTATTGCCTAAAAACATAACTTAAGCAACTAATAATCTTACAAATGTGTATTTAAAGGACTGCAAGTTTCTTGAGTTGTGCATGAAGGAATATGACAGTTGGACTATGATGGCTAGAGGGGCAAGACGTGTGTTCAGTGCCCCCCTAAAATGTGTTGCAGCATAATTTGTATTTCGGGTTAAGATTGTACCTGCCAACTTCTTTGTAGCACAATTTTAAAAACCAATTACATTTTTGAGGAGCCTTAAAGCTCTTTAATGCACCTCTAGGGAATTATTCCTTATTCAGCAGTAGCTTGATATTTTATACATTATACAAAACTAATTTTTCTTGGCTATAATTGAATTAAATGGATAATTATTACAACACGATATTTGGTGCCTGAATAAAAGAACATCCAATGGATTACAGTTATCCTCAGTAAGTCAGGAATACAAATGAGGGTAAAAATGAGGGTGCAACGTTTAGTAATGAAAGAAATTTAAAACAAGGGTTAAAAGATAATAAAATGAATTTATTGCTTTCTGTCAGTGTGATATACAATTTTATTGTGGTTCTTACATTTTATTGCTCTTTGCAAGTATATCACTCGTGTGGTTCTCTTTGTATAATATTTATGATGAGGTAAAATATTAACAATAACATTTTATAAATGAGCCTATTGGTGAGCGTCAGTTAAGACCCAGAACCTCACAAACCAAAAGGCACCATTGACAAATCAGTAACAATTAACGACATCAGGGAAAAGACTCGCTTCTCTCACCCATATCATTCAAACTAAAATTGTGGAATGTGTCAGGGTGGAGATGAACTCCATGGAAATATACATCACACCATTTACAACCTAATAGTCCTTTCCTAGAATATACACAAAAATAAAAACAAGAATGCACCCATATATCTAGAACAAAGATAATACCTCATTTATGCTATGTACAATCAACTACAAGGAGAAAAAAATTAAGAGAAAAATAAATTATCAAGTAACATTTAAAGTTTTATACTGACCACATAAAGTAACAACATAACAAGGTGGGTAAGCAGAGATAAGGGTAAGTTGATGCATGTCATTTTCCTCTTTCCATTGTAACTTGGCATTCCACCACAAAATAATTTAAAGTGGGTGTGCAGATCCTCTCACTTTGCTACTTCATTTGATTTTCTCAAGCAGCACAAACATCATTTTAATACACTAGATTACTATTGTCTTTAATGAGAAAGAAATGAAAGGGTATGGGTTAGTCTACTAATAGAAACTACTTCTACTACCCCATTTGTCATGTAAATGTTCACAGATGTGAAAAATGTTTAAAAAATTCTGAAAAGAACATTAGAAATTAGCCACTGCTACCCACCAAGCAATCGCAACACATGTGAAGTGCATCACACACATCACTCAACTGGCCTTCATCTGACATCCGGACGGAAAGTATTTTGCAGCACCAACCCACAGAAAGTTCAATCAAGATCACATTCTCAATATTAATATTTGTCATACATCTTCAAAAAATTGTGAATTGTGAGAGAGATATTTTTCAATTTCAACAAAGTGCTTTCCATTTAAAGAATATTTCTGGAAGTTCACGACTTTAATTCAGAAGGAAAAATTACCGCCATCTTCCACTCTATACCTGTGAATTGAAAAAGTGTTAAAGAATTATGACACAAATTCATGTTTTCTTGATTGAGTTTCTGCCTGGCACTCACATGGTGAAGGTAGTCCAATGACCAACAAGCAATCTGGCAACAGAAGGCACTATGAATAAAGCCACTATTAGATTTAAAAGCTTATTTTAAGATTGTGGCACTCACAATGAACTGCCTGTCTCACCAAAGTTATGAAAACATATTTCACTATGTTTAATTAAAGTTTTGATCATAGATATGAAACATTAATTTATGTTTTCATATCATTACTCAGACAGTTAAATGCCATTGGACACCTCTCACTGTGATAGTATATCAATTATTCTGAAATACAACTTTGTACATCTTAAAACCACAGATTAAAAGAATATTTTAATATGTACAGTGTAAATTCTAGTATTAAACACTATTTACATTCATCTAGAATTCAATAAATTATTTCTTAACTTAAGAAGACGTTTGAACTAAATTTCACGAAATTCAGACTTGATATAGTTTTACCGCTCTTCCACAGTGCAATTCAAATTGGAAGTAGACATTCAAAATAACTTATACTTCCTTCAATCGTATCTTACATAGGTATAATGAACTATTTAGAATATCCCACCTGAGGCAATCGCTGTTACTGTCAATGTTGAATTCAGTTAATTGTGTTTGTTAATCAGTCTGCAGGTCTCCGTTATCAAATTTTAGTCTTCTTTCTTTTGCCTGTGGGGCTACAATTCATCATTTAACTGATGATCTTCTTTGAACATAGTACTCACGAACATTGACCCTTGTATCATGAACCTGCAGATAAACCTATAAACTGATATCAACAACTACACATTTCATTCTTTGTTTTTAACATTTCATGGAGTTAAGCATACTCTATATAGTACATCAGCCAACTACTTTTAAAGCATTTATCTGCAATAAAGTTTTGATCATGACAAGGGAAAACAAGACTATAGAAAGCACTGCCAATGCGTATGACTATACAATAAGTCAAAAAAGTATATATATTTATGCAATCTCAAAATTGTATGGTATATATATCAGTAATTGCATAAGCTCCTTGCATGCAAGACTCTAAACTTGAAACACTGACCTTTGGGTTTGTGCAATATGCAACTGCACATACTGGCTTCCAATAATACTTGAGAATTGCTTACATAAGAACAGCATTAAACTTTTATTTGAGCGGGGTCTAGGTTTACATATCCTAGATGTAAGGTGACCAACAGTTTTGACATCACCAGAAGCAGATATCACAGTCAGTGTTCATGCATAGTTCATAACAGAGGCTAACATTGTCTCAGCAAAGCAAAATTTGTTTCAAAAGCAAAGGTATATCTAAAACTACGTAAGCAACTCAATTACCGCAAAGAACAATTTGTTGAAACATTACTGCTGTAAAATTTTGGTGAAAAAGGTTAATACTGCACATGTAATACAAGTCTGTGAAATAACACAAAATAAGGTCTTAACTGACTCATGTGTGAGTGCAAGTTGAATAAATGATTATAAAAACTGGTTTCACTAAGAATAGCTGACATCATAGTCATTAATGTTGCCCGTTTAATCCATTGAAATGTAATTAACATTTTATAGGAAATGTAAGTACACTTTTTGTATAAGTATTTGAAGAAAATGCGTTTCATAAATAGTATGTGCTAATGCTTCATTCTATAATAAGAACAACTGACCAAACTAACAGAATATCATTCCTTGTTGCAAAATAACTAGGTTGAATTCAACAAATCATTTATATTTCCAAAAATCTTTTAAGATAAAAATAGATCAAATATACTCTTTTTGTGAGATTTTCTATGCTTCCTGTTAAATCTTTAAGTTAAAAATAAAATTATGGTTGACTGAACAATGTTTTTTTTAATTTGCAAAATATCAATACTACTAAGTGAAAAAGTACAACATGGTACTTATTTTTTTAATCAATACAGATCAATATGCATTTCCTTTCATTCTTTATGATGTGCAAAACTGTGTAAGTAATTTTTATATTTCTATGGAGGAAATATATATTGTAAGTAAATTTTATTTTTGTCAAATTCTGCTAATGGATCAAAGTATCAAACAAACCAATGATAAACTTGCATGAAGCAATGAGGAGATATATCATGCTCATTTATGCACAATTGATGTTATTTTGAAACTTCTTTACTCAGCACCACAAACTTTCCTTTTTGTAGTCACCTTACATAGATTTTTAGATCATGAAAGTAAGAATGGTCCCCCTCTTATATCTATACTATGTATCCAAATTATGAGTATAAAAATAGTGGGCTTTATGTACAATATAAATACTATATTTGTTTTACCACAATACAATAAGTTACATTCTGTATTCATCTTTTCCTTTTTGAAGGAGAATTGTACATGGAAGACTGGCAATTATTATTGGAATGTATCATCAACAGAGATGAATAGTGAGATTCCACAAAAAAAAAGTTCTAAATTTATAAACAATTCACACACAACCTTATTTGCTACCAAATCATCAATTGATCTAACAAGAACAATTGAATGGAAGCTGACTTTGGACTTCAAATTTCAACAGTGGTGACATGATTATTGAAAATAGATCATTAAAATTCAGAATAAAAAAATAATCTGACAGTGCACTGTTGATCTTCCAGATCTAATAAACAGGAATTTTGATGCAAGTTTTGTGATGAATCATATCTCATCATATTTATCTACATTACTGCATAACAAAACGGCATTGTGCCATGTCAAACCTTACATTGCTTTTCAGTAAAAATGTTTCTGTTTATCATATTCACGAGTAACTCTAACAACTGGCCATGTTTCAATCAATTTCAACAACAATAAATTAGTTTCCCCTATTTTCAACACAGGGAACTTATCAGAGAGGGAACAAAACGTTATTAAAGGGATTTCGACCAAGTGCAACCCACGAAACCTGCACGCACAAGCTCACTGCCGCGCCTGTGAAACGGAGGCCGTCGACGTTGGGGCTGGTGAAGACGACGGCCTCGCCGTTATCACTGTCACTGCCATTTTATCACAGCTGTCGAAGACGACGATGCAGCAGCAGCGACCGCAGGCGTCGCAGCGGGCGCAGGGGCGTGGAAGGACCCGGGGAGGGGGCGAGGGGGGCNNNNAGCGAGGGGGCGTGGCCTAGCCCGGCGGGCGGTCGCGGGGAGCCGGCTGTGAGGCCGCGAGGCCGCGCCGTCAGTGGCGCTTCATGTGCAGCGACAGGTGGTCGGAGCGCGAGAAGGACCGCTGGCACAGGTGGCACTTGAAGGGCTTCTGGCCCGTGTGCTTGCGGTAGTGGCGCGTCAGCTCGTCCGAACGCGCGAACTTCCACGTGCAGCCCTCCCACGTGCACTGGTACGGCTTCTCACCTGCAACACGCCCACGCGACATGCCTCAATTAAAATGGTCTCAGGGTGAAAATAGTGTACAAAGCAAAATTGTAACACTACTCCTGACAAACACAATGAGAAAACAATTCTGTTTCTTTAAATGGTGGTATTTCTTGGTCACGTGACTATTAGAAAAAATATTTTTCACGGCCTACGCAATACACAATATTATTTACATATCAATGATTACGTTGAATAAAATAGCCAAACTTAAATAATAGAAGCATTCGGGTATATTGGATCAGATTGATCCGCAGCCAGATAATGTTTTCCCGAAATTGTAAACAAAAAAGTTATTAAAAAATTCAGAGACCAACGTGTAAATATTTACAGGCCAAAATAGGCATATGTGTAATGAATATTCGTGAAGATGCGACTATTTCAAGAAGTACAAAATGAAAAAGGCGAAAGCAAATATCGAAACTTCAATGCGTGATCAAACAACGAACACGTTCTCTCATCTTTCCTATGATTCTTTTATCCATCAGAAGCTTTATTATTTTGTTGCGAACTTTCAAATGACTTTATTTCAGTGTTTATGAAGCTTTAATTATATAATAATGGTAAATACACAATACTTTCCTTAGTTGGAATGTAAGCTTCACCAGTGAAAAGATAAAATGAGAATAAGGAGTCTGAAAACGACCTTATATCACATATACTAGTGACATCTTCAATTGCACATAATCCACTTGACTTTCTCTTCATATTCATCTTCTGCACATAGAACGGCGAACCAAGCCGCATTGCCTTGTTTTCGTAACGCGTCATCTCATTTACTGTTACTAAGAGTGTCAAACTGAACTAGTGCACAAAATAGCATCCGAGGAATATGCTATATATTTGTACCGGTATTACGCTTTAGAAGTAATTAACGAAAATATTTTCACAAACTAATATAAGTCAGGGACAAGAGTATTGGAAAATCATTGAATTTTGCTACGTGCTTCACGTGAATAGACAGAAAATTAATAAATGAAGAGGTTTTTGATTTGAGTTCTGATTGCTTTATGCTTTACAATGGCTTTATTTTAAGACAATGAATGCTTGCTTGAGATCAAAGGTGCATGCGTTTGTACTGATTTGGAGGGAGGTTTCTTCCCTTTCTTGTCGGGAAGGTCGTCTGACTTCCAACGTGCATAAAAAATGTTTACAAAACTAGAAGATCATGATAAAACTATGATTTAAGTTCTATATTGTGAAGTGAAAAAAGCTGTTTTGAAAATTTCATTGAGGGCTGAATCTTGTCAATCCCTTTGCCACTGTTGATTTAGTGTTTCTTGGCACATCAACTCGTTCTCTACATATACCAATGGTTTGGCGTTTTGTACCGTTCTAATCTAAGAATAAAATTGAATATGGTAGTAATTAGTTAGTTACGTGTTATTATAAGTGTTGAGAACGATGTTAACTGAGATACGATGCGTTGTGAAAAAAAGCCTTGTAAGTGGCGTGAACGGTTAGTTTCTTAATGTTAGTAACATATGTTTATGGAAGCTATGCTCCTATTAAAACAAGTATCCTCTCAAGATTACTTGCTGGTTCGAGAGAGGGACACTATCATCCAATCGTGAGCTTGTTATGATTAAAATTTTTGGTATTGAAGCTCCTGATTTGATGGCAGTGTCCCCCCTATTTTTTTCAGCTCGTGAAGGGATACTGTTTTAATCGAAGTATATATCGTGAGAGGATAGAGAACAGTACGCGGCAACTACATTGCCTTTCGCACCAAACTGTAAACCACATTCTTATTTTATTCAGATCTTAGCAGTATACAGTGTCTCGAAACCAATGTTACAAACTTCTATGGTATTTAGATGGGTTGAAAATGATTACTTTTCGCCAATGAACATGAACATTAGTAACATTCATTCCGAGACCGCTGCATGTAATGCCACATCCAACGACGTCGCAATGCCCACCCGTGTGCGTCCTCTTGTGCGCCTTGAGGTGGGAGCTCTTGGTGTACACCTTGTCGCAGCCGGCCACGTCGCAGCGGTGCACCTTGCGCCTGCGCAGGCTGTCGCCGTAGTCGGGGCCGCTGGGCGCGGGCGACGCGCTGCGCAGGGCTGCCGTTGGCCACGCCTCCGCCCCCGCCGCCGCCGCCGCCGCCCCCGCCCGCCCCCGCCGCCGCCGCAGGCCGCTGCCGCCGCCGCCGCGGCCGCCGCCCCCCTGCCGCCGCCGCCGCTGCCGGCCCGGCCGCTTGTGGAAACACCTGCCAACAGAAATGGGAACAGTGAGACGCTGTGGTCTTGAAAACAACAAGGGCGGAGATGGGAGGTGAGCAAAGGAGTGAGTATCAAGTGTTTCCGGATGCGACTACTGCTTTGGGTTTCAATTCCGTGTGTAGTGCGTGTTGTAGCCGAGAAGCGGCAGTGTTCCGCCTCTGCTAGGAGGTGAGATCCGGCAACCCCACTTTCTTCCGGGTGTTTCCTTTTCATGAATCTTCCCCAAAGAGGCACCGATCCAACCAAGACAAAGTCTAAGCTCCCGACAATGTGCGGTAATATCCATAAATGACCGAGTGTGTGTGTGAGTGTGTACGGAGAGACAAGGAGACAAGTGTGAGGAAGAGAAAATATCGCGAAGTCCATGGCCTGTTTGTTAAGCTACTGCTCCAGAATTCGTCTGGTATTGATCGGAGAAACTCCGGAAAGCTACTGATCACGGCTACTGACAGCTGGAGTTATCCTTCAGACAGCGGCCGAAGGACAACTCCACGTATGAAGCTAGATCCGAAAATCCTCCACCATCGAGATTCGAAACTTATGACCTCCCGCTCAGACTCGCCGCAGCGTAGAAGGTAGTTGTCTCTGAGCTGTCTCAGGCGATCGATTAGTGACAAATGGAACATGACACAGAAGAGTGAAAGTTAGAAATACATTTGCGTACTGGAATTATAACGAGAAACTTCGAAAGTTAACTGATCACTAGCATTGTTCGTTTCTATCGTTGGGCATCTTATGCATGACTGATGGAAACCACCTTAAGTATGAAAGAATAAAACAAAATAATCATCTGGTGGACAGACTATGGAGTGCCTTTAGCTATAAGTTATCTAAGCGAATCCTCGGCACGAATGATTTCAAAAATATATTTTGCAAGGAAGAATGGAGTACCATGAATGAAATTAAATTAAGGGGTTCGATGAGTGAAGCAGTTTAATGAAAACAGTATAATGGGGCACGACAAAAAGGAATGGTCTAATATTTTCTGTGACTACTATTCAAAAAATTCCATCTCGTTCAGAGCCTACTATCCATCAACCGGGACTTGTGTTTTTGAGACTTGTGTTTTTGAGAGGACCAACCGCCTTTGTGACCGTGATCTAGAAGCGCCCGTAGGAACAGGACGCGCTGCAAAATGTCGAGTGTTAACGACCGCACCACTACGCTTCGCAGAGGGAGCTTTAGAGCTCCGCAGACCATAGTCCACAACGGCGGAGATCTCTCCTTAAAACGCGATTCTCGTAAATAGAAAATGTTAACGTATTACGACGTAAACATTGATTCATAAACACAGAAAGGAATTGGAGTATCAGCGACTACGAGGGGCAAATCTAGTCGGGGACGCTATGAAAGGTGCAGTGGCAGGAAAAAAGGAGGAGGCAACAGTTGATAGTCTAAGCGTTTTGATAGGGGGTTCCCAAAAGGGAAGATGGCCTTACGTCGAGACAGTGCGTGTGAAAACATGGTAATATTCTAATGATGTGTTTAAGTATATAATAATATTCTAATGACATGTTTAATAATCCATAGCGACGTAATTTATCGAATAAAATACTCAATACTAACCAATATAATTTAACGTCGTAAGGAGTAACAATATTTTATTGTTATAAAACTAAACGTCAAACGCCAGCCTTTAAGATTCGAGAGCTCTACTGTATTAATGATGCAACTAATGTAGTATTGCATGTATTTAGCAGTTTTTGGTATGTGTTAGTGGTTTGGTATGGGTTAGTGAAACTATCAATGTGAAATTTCTGTTTCCAATGCGTAGTAGTTAATAATATAAGAATAGCGGGCTCTTTTCACATCACACATTTTGAAATTAAGAAAAAATATGCTATCGATAATTATTGCGTATTAAAAGTAATCGAAAAAAAACTCTCAAAGCATTTCTCACATGTATAGCTTAATTATTTTTTTCCAATATTTTTGCACATGTCAAATAATTTTCTGAACTAGATTAACGCCCTGATTATTTGCATGAATAACTACCCTGTAATATTTTATAACAATAACTCAAATATAATTTTTGCTTTGTGAGTTATGTTCATTGTCTAGTATAAATAAATAAAAGTGAAAAAAATTATTGGATAATTCCTCTAGACATATTTTAATGATTTGATACACAGGGAGATTAGAGATGAACTTACATTCTTGTCATATCACTGCAATAAATGGAATTGGAAATGGTAAATGGACTCTCTACTCAGAAAACAGTGTAGTCATGACAGTCTTTGGGCTATATATGCCCAACGGGTGCTCAGATTTAAATATAATGAAAATAAAAATTATCCGTCAAAGATTGAAAGAGATTTTATTAAAACGCTAA